GTGTAGTGTAGTGAGTAGTGTAGTGTATAGTGTAGTGTAGTGAGTAGTGTAGTGTAGTAGTGTAGTGTATAGTGTAGTGGGTAGTGTATAGTGTATAGTGTAGTAGTGTATAGTGTAGTGTATAGTGTAGTGGGTAGTGTATAGTGTAGTGTAGTGGGTAGTGTAGTGGGTAGTGTAGTGTAGTGGGTAGTGTAGTGCGTAGTGTAGTGGGTAGTGTAGTGTAGTAGTGTAGTGTATAGTGTAGTGGGTAGTGGGTAGTGTAGTGTAGTGTGTAGTGTAGTGGGTAGTGTAGTGGGTAGTGTAGTGTAGTGGGTAGTGTAGTGGGTAGTGTAGTGTATAGTGTAGTGTATAGTGTAGTGTATAGTGTAGTGTATAGTGTAGTGTATAGTGTAGTGTATAGTGTAGTAGTGTATAGTGTAGTGTATAGTGTAGTAGTGTATTAGTGTAGTAGTGTATAGTGTAGTGTATAGTGTAGTGTATAGTGTAGTGTATAGTGTAGTGTATAGTGTAGTGTAGTGGGTAGTGTATAGTGTAGTGGGTAGTGTAGTGTGGTGTAGTAGTATATAGTGTAGTGTAGTAGTGTAGTGTAGTGGGTAGTGCATAGTGTAGTGTATAGTGTAGTGTATAGTGTAGTGTATAGTGTAGTAGTGTATAGTGTAGTGTATAGTGTAGTAGTGTATAGTGTAGTGTGTAGTGTAGTAGTAGTAGTGTATAGTGTAGTGTATAGTGTAGTGTGTAGTGTATAGTGTAGTGTATAGTGTAGTAGTGTATAGTGTAGTGTATAGTGTAGTAGTGTATAGTGTAGTGTATAGTGTAGTGTATAGTGTAGTGAGTAGTGTAGTGTGTAGTGTAGTAATGTAGTGTATAGTGTAGTAGTGTAGTGTATAGTGTAGTGTATAGTGTAGTAGTGTAGTGTAGTGTCTGTGTGTAGTGTGTGTGTGTATCTGTGTGTCTGTGTGTGTGTCTGTGTGTGTGTGTTTGTGTGTCTGTGTCTGTGTGTGTCTGTGTGTGTCTGTGTGTGTGTCTGTGTGTGTGTGTGTCTGTGTGTATCTGTCTGTGTGTGTGTCTGTGTGTGTGTCTGTGTGTGTGTGTGTAGGGTGTGTGTATCTGTGTGTGTGTATCTGTGTGTGTGTCTGTGTGTGTGTGTCTGTGTGTGTATCTGTGTGTGTGTCTGTGTATATGTGTGTGTGTAGTGTGTGTGTATCTGTGTGTGTGTCTCTCTCAGTGAGTGCATTAATTAATTATTGACGGTCTCTCTGTCTCTCTGTTTCTGTGTCTCTGTCTCTCTCTGTCTCTGTCTCTCTCTCTGTCTCTCTGTGTCTCTCTGTCTCTGTGTGTCTCTGTCTCTGTGTCTCTCTGTGTCTCTGTGTCTCTCTGTCTCTGTGTGTCTCTGTCTCTGTGTCTCTCTGTGTCTCTGTGTCTCTGTGTCTCTCTGTCTCTGTGTGTCTCTGTCTCTGTGTCTCTCTGTCTCTCTGTGTCTCTCTGTCTCTGTGTGTCTCTGTCTCTGTGTCTCTGTCTCTGTGTCTCTGTGTCTCTCTGTCTCTGCGTGTCTCTCAGGGTGATGTTTGAGTTCGCCAGACGCCATCCGAGGGCTTCTGTTAGCCAGGTGGAGTCGTTGGCTCGCCTCTACAGCGAGCTCGCCAGAGCCTGCTGTGCTCTTACAGACGCGGATCAAGAATCGTGCTTAGACACTGCGGTAAGACACACACAGAGACACACACAGAGACACACACAGACACACAGACACACACACAGAGACATAGACACAGGCTCGCCTCTACAGTGACCTCGCCAGAGCCTGCTGTGCTCTTACAGACGCGGATCAAGAATCGTGCTTGGACACTGCCGTGAGTTACAGACAGACACACACAGAGACACACAGAGACACAGACACACACACAGAGACATAGACACAGGCTCGCCTCTACAGCGAGCTCGCCAGAGCCTGCTGTGCTCTTACAGACGCGGATCAAGAATCGTGCTTAGACACTGCCGTGAGTTACAGACACAGACACACACAGAGACACACAGAGACAGACAGACACACACAGAGACATAGACACAGGCTCGCCTCTACAGTGACCTCGCCAGAGCCTGCTGTGCTCTTACAGACGCGGATCAAGAATCGTGCTTACATACTGCGGTAAGACACACACAGAGACACACACAGACAGAGACACACAGAGACACACACACACAGAGACATAGACACAGGCTCGCCTCTACAGCGAGCTCGCCAGAGCCTGCTGTGCTCTTACAGACGCGGATCAAGAATCGTGCTTAGACACTGCCGTGAGTTACAGACACAGACACACACAGAGACACACAGAGACACACAGACACACACAGAGACACAGACACAGGCTCGCCTCTACAGCGAGCTCGCCAGAGCCTGCTGTGCTCTTACAGACGCGGATCAAGAATCGTGCTTAGACACTGCCGTGAGTTACAGACACAGACACACACAGAGACACACAGAGACACACAGACACACACAGAG